TTCTTAGTTTGTCGACAAAAGCAAACATCAACGTGTTTTATGTGACTGTGTGCAGGTCCAGGATTCGGTTGTGGAGAAGTTTAAAGCAGGGATAGGATTTAAAATGACAACGAAAGTTTTCAACCCTTCAAAGAGTTTATCCAAAGGACCATCTGAAAATGCAAAGAGTGTCCAACAACTAAAAACATATCAATACCTCAGCAAGAGGAATGTTCATTAGAGAAATAATCTTATAACTCTGGAAGATTTACAGATATCTATAGCTAAGGTGGAATAATATTTTAATACCACAATTATGAGTCTTTCACCCTAAAAATCTTGTCTTTATGAAAGAGACACAAGAAGGAATGAAGCAAAATTATATAAAGTCCAAAATGCAGTTTGTATGGAGCAATGTAGGCCACACAGAAAACATGTAGAAGAAGGTTTTCTGGGCAGAGTTGATTGTAAGAGATAAATACACAATCATTCTGGAAGAAAAAGTATAGAGGCTGCAAAAGATTCATCTTATTCATCTTCTGTCAGGTCAATGGCCATGAACATACAGGTGGAGCTACAATGGAATAGTTTAGGCCAAAGCATAATTATGTGTAGAATGACCCAGTCAAAGTCCAGGTCTAAATTAAATTGATGGTCTGTAGATTTGGTAACTGATGTTCAATCTTTGTTTATCTGACTAAACCTGATGTACTTCTGGTAAAGATTGGCAAACATTTCAAACTCTAGATGTGCAAATCTATTGGAGATCTAACCAAGAAGACTTGTAGATTACATTTAGGTGAAGGCTGTTTTATTTAGTCCTGAGTCAGGAAGCTGTACATTTCATTACAGACCAACTTAGATATTTATTCATGAGAGTAAAAGATTTTCTTCTATTTCACAATCTCGTGCTACTTTGTGTTTGTCACGTAAAATTCCAGTGAAATGCTTTGCCGTTTGTGGTTGTAATTTGACAAAATTAGAAAAAGCTTAGACTGCCTCTGCAAGGCAGTGTGCAGAAAAGGTCGAGCGCTTTCTGAGTCAACAGGTTTGTTTTTATGTTTGTTCTTCCAATTTGAAGCTATGTTTGAATTTGCTCAGATAGGTGGGCCAATCACACATGAAGGTGGGGGCTGGGGATGATTATGTGGATCTTGCCAAAATCCACAGGCACTGACGATTATTTGTCAGGATTTGTTTTGTGATAAAACAGCTTATCTCCATGGGTTTAATCTTGGAGTCTGTGCCTGCCTTTGTGCTTATGCTAAAGGTTTAGGTAATTGTGTCTGCCCCCATATTCACGCTGTGCTTCGCACAGCTTCAGACTGATTTTAAATTAACATCTTGCTAACTTGCTAACTTTCATATGCACATCAGCAGGCTCTGCATTGTTCCATTCACACAGCTTGCAAACACAACAAATGAAGACTCTTCTAATGTGTAGCGTGTTTGTTGGACACCATTTTCAGTTTTCATGTCCTGAAATCAATTGCATTTTGCTTTGTGTACTGTCCACCTCATTGGAGGTTAACTGCCTGCTTTTTGATGAAATGTTATTGGCAGGCATTGCAACAGACACACTGTGCCAGTCAGTTGAAGTCGTTGCACACCTCTGCTAATACTGGGAATAAATAAAGGCATGTAATGTAGCTGCAGAGTTCCCCATTCTTTATTTTTATTTTACTTCATGGTAAATTTCATTCTATTAGACCAGAAAAGCAACAAAAACAAAATATGTATTTGTCCAGTGGCCTCTACAACATACTGGCCTCTGTTGTGCAGTGATTTGTATTTGTTGACTCGCTGATGAGGTACATTATGTTACAGGTCTCTTCAGGTTAGGTCAGTAGGCTTGCTGCCCAGTCCATTGTCTCCATGCTGGCCCATCAATGAGCAGGGGCGCAGGATAATTGCATAAAGAAGCTGTAATAAGGGGAATTGGATTAGCTTTGCCCTAACAAAAATAAATTAAAGAGGTTATCATGACATGCAGACTCCTAAACAGACTCATTATAGCTGCTCATCCAAATATAGCGTAATGCACTGCATCATTTGCTGTCAGCTAGGCACAACAATCTAGCAGGAGTTTCTACAAATAACATCATGTTTGACCGACGTGACGGCCCTTGGAAGCTTTAACCATTATCTGATATGAGGTGTAGGGCAGAACATGCAAAACTGCTAAGAATCCCATTACAGAGGGGAAGAAATATTTCTCACTGCACTTTCTGACTCAAATGATCTAAAACTTTTTTTTCCCCATCCCCAGATTTATCGACATTCATGTTTTCTTACTAAATGTTTCATTAGCCACACCAGGTGTCGGGGAGCTGCTTTCCAACATGAAGGATATTGGAAATAGAGAGGCTTATGTTTTTCTTAAGACCGTGCACAGATAACCTTTAAAATGTGTTTAGTCAAGACAGAGAGAAGAGATCAATAATTTTCAAAATTCTTACAAAAAAAATGAATCTGTAATCTGTTTACATCAGAAAAGGAAAGGTGGAATAGTGAAAAAATAAAAAAAGGGGCTCAAGAATAAAATGTGGACCGAATTATTGTTGATGAGCTGATAGCCTCTTCCGCCTTCATGTGTATTTTATTTTTTTTTTACTTTTATTAGTACAAATTGTGTGCAAGTGTCACAACAGTGTATGTATATATATATATATATATATATATATATATATATATATATATATATATATATATATATATATATATATATATATATATATATATATATATATATATATATATATATATATATATATATATATATATATATATATATATATATATATATATATATATATATATATATATATATATTCAAGTGTCTGTTTAGCTCATTATTCTTTAAAGCTGTCATTTAGATCTTGGAGATTTGTTTACATTTTACATATTTATTCCAAAGGAATAAATATGTAGTGAGTTTGACTGAAATTATTATTTTTTGTTTGTTTTTAAATGTATTTACAAAAAAAGCAGTCAGAAATTGCTAACTTTATACTAATTTGTTCTTCTAGGATTTAACAATCCTTTTTAAAAAAATGTATCAATGGCAATGAACAACAGAAATAAATAACATGCAAAACGATATTGCGTCACATAAATAGTTGCAGACAATACAGTAACCTGCGTGCAATGAAAGGTGGGGCTGTTCAAAGGCACCGCTGTTGCTTTTGCTTTTTTTCAGTTGGAGTCTCCACCGGAGGCATTCGCCTTCAGCTTTTTTTACCCCGCCTTGTCTCGCGGCGGGGTAAGGTACAGGACAAAAACACCCCGTTTCCAGATGTCTTCCTGGGTTAGGGAGAATCTAGCGCTGCCCCTGCCATGAGAAACAAACACTAATTTCCCACTGGCCCCTGGTTGGAGATGTGCAGCTGGGGACAAGTGGTTAAAAATAGCATCACTTGTTCCCATGAGTTGCGGGCACAAAGCAGCGCAGCATTAGTATTCAGCATTAAAACACGGCTTGGATAAAAAAAAACCCAAAACAAAACAAAAAAGGTCATCTTCTGGCCATGGTCACAAATGTTAATGTTGGGTACCACAGACTGGGGCAGGAAACTGCACCCCGGGCTTTGTCCCTCCATAGCCCACCCTACTGAACCACTGTCCTCTGAAAGATCCCAGGAAGATGCATGGAAGCAGCCAAGGGAATGTCATGACATCCGTGTTGTTTTGCTTGTAGCTCAGCAGCATCCATGCTTTTCACTTGAGTCGAGTTACAGTTCTCCTTCTATGACACAAAAGCAGCATCTGGTTCCACCTGACTAGAACCATGAATAATTTAATAGTGGGCATTATTATTTCCAGCCAGCACCACTAGCTTGGCAATAACAAGCGACTTAGGTAGTGCTATCAACCTCAATCGCTAAGTGGTTGAACACAGAGAGAGGATGTTATTTTTACCTTGCTGGCATCTTACACTTTAGTGGGTTTGTGAGTATCTGCTTGAATGAGTGCTTCAGTGTTATTTTTAAGTAGTACGCTTTGCAGTGTTTGTTGGGTAAACAAAGCTGTGCTAAGCACTGAGGAGAGCTAATACAATCAAGATAGAGGCCATAATCTAGTTACCCTGATGCAACTCACTGAAAGCGTTACCAAACAAAGTTCTCATCGGACAGCGTTATTATTTGATTTTTATCACTTGAAATCTACAATTAAATAAATAAAGAAATCAATATGTTTTTTTTTTCTTCATTTATCTAACTGAAGCTATCCATTAAGGTGAAAACATGTTTCGTTTGCACGCCTCAAAACTGAGTGAAAGTATCATATACTCACTTTGTGTCATAAACTCCTTTGTGAAATGAAGAGTTTTAGGGTTATAAACCTCAGGTAACAAGTCGGCGGTCTGTCACAGGGCAGCATCGAGATGTATGGGACTGAAGACCGGGCATGCACACACTCATACCTAAGGGCAGAGACCAATTAACCTAACATGCAACCTGGAGAGAGCCAGGGCATGTGTGGGAAAAAAAGTACAGGCTAGGACTCAAACACATCATCTTAGACTTTTTATAATAGCACAAGTACAACAAGCTATTAACTTTTGATTACTGAAGTTTTAAAACAGTGACTACTTTAGTTATTAGGCCATAATTGTCTACGTTCTTTTTTTTTCACTTAACATTTTCCAGTCAAATTGATATTTTCTGTGAGCAAGGGAAAAGCATAGCAGCCACTTTTAAGCAGACTAACCATCAGTGCACAACAGGTTGAGTCTCTGGAGAAACCTCTGGTCATGCTAACACTTTCCCTAGCATCGCTTTAAAGTGATGTTAAGCCATAGAAACAGTACAGTGAAAGATTCTATCAGATTTGAAACTGCACCTCGTTAAAAACATTTTTTACATCTTGATGCCAGAATAACCTTAAAATATAACAGTAACATGGGAAATTCAGATTTTGTTTCCTAGTAGATATGTGTTACACCAGGACAGTTCTTTTCCATGGATTACAGAAAAGTAATCAGTGAGCAGTGATTGACTTCATCCTTGTGATCTTTTCAGCTGAAAAATGATGTTTTGCCCCTTCACTGTGTGGACAACGTTCATCCACTAGAGGACAACAGCAGAGCTCCACAACAACACCAAGAGTCCCTGAACCACCAAAAGCTCCATCAAAAGTTACTGGTGAGTGCTCTGTGTGAAAGCGAGATAAAGGCTTGTTGGCGCTCACGCGATCACGGGCTATTAAGGGCAGTTGGAGTCTCCACCGGAGGCATTCGCCTTCAGCTTTTTTCTGTATTTATTTTGCTTTCCCTTTAACTGGTGAACCACAAATAATCTTGCCTTCAGTCGTTGGGTTAATTTCAAAATGAGCTGCCCCTACTTATGTTTGTGTTCTTTGAATCCTTCCTGGTACTGATTGAGGTCAAATTTGCAGATTTATTGGTATTTTCATGAGTGAAGATGTTTAAAAAGATGTAATTTCCTATTTAAAATAATCTAATCTACTTACAAGATAGATATGATCATCCGTCTATAGATAAACATTAGACAGAGGTGCTTCTTGTTACCACACACTTATCAACCACTTTAACTGGCTTGTACTGGTCCTAGAAGATGGGTTCACTGCGGTCATAAAGGCATGGACACAGTCAACAACTTTGCTTAGGAAGGCTGTGGTGTCTTACAGTTTCAGAGTTTTTCAATAAAATAACCTACACAACTTTACGCCTTCAGCTTTACGCATTGATGAAAGGTGAGGAGAATCCATGCATATTTCTGTCTCATCATCTTACTATTCATTGGATCAGGCAATGTTTTTCCAGTCTGTTGCTGTCTGTTTTTGATGAGTTTTGGCTGAGTTCAGCCTCAGTTTTCTCTTATTAAATGAAAAGAGTGGCATCAAGTATGGCCTTTAATCTTTAGTCTTCTTAAAAGTTTGATGAGTTGTATGTTCAGCGATTGTCCTCCAGATGTTTTGTTTATTCAAGCTTCTATTGTCTTCTTATCATCTCACATCCGTTTCCTCATCCCACTTTAAACCCTCTCACCGTGGAGCAGTTTTTTTTTTCCCATAGGACTGCTCCTTGCGTTCTCTTTTTCTGACAATAAACCGAAGAGATGGTTGTTCCTGCAAACCCTTACAGATCAGCAGTTTCTGAAGTCTTTCACTGACAACGATGCTGCATTCAAACTTATGTAAATTCGATTTCTTCTTCGAACCTCAGCAAGTTTCTTGCATGACGTATAGATTACTAAATGTATTGAATTGCCTCTGTCTGCTTCCTGTAATTCCATGTGTTGTTATTCTGATCCAGTAGCCATGTTGCTGAAGGTTTTACGGATGGTAAATGAGTTTTCTAGCGCTTTTACAGGCTTAGACTATTGCAGGGATTCCTTGGCGATGTAATCCCACATAGACTGGTGGTAATTCTGCTGATTTCTCCCAATGTGTATAGACCAGTTTAAATAATCTCTGTTAATTAGATTCCAGAGCAGCAAAACAGAACAAGCTGAGTATTTATGTGTGTAATTGTGCCCACGAGGCTGCTGGCCCTCCTTCCAGTGTCTCGTCAGCACTTAGCAGACTGTTGTTTTCATGTTATGGGTGACATCTTTTCACTAAGCCATAAACCGAAGCTTTGTTATTAGCAGTTTTTGTGTGTTGATTCACAATGGAGCTGACATTTGCTAATGGTGTGATGAGTTCGAGGAACAATTTTGGCTGCATGGTTTCCAAATAACAAAGCTGTTGTCTCAATCGCAAATTTTAATGGCATGTTAATTAAGATTAGTTCAGATAAAATGCAAAAGACAAAGGCTCGGATTCTCAAAAGGCTTGCAGATCCCTCAAACCTTCTTGTCTCGCGCCGAGAGTGTGACCCCCTTGTGTTAAAGTCCGCCAGCTGTAGTCTGCTGGGGTGTGAGGTTAGCACCAAGAACCGTGATTGTTTACATAATGATGGTGGTGTGAACCTTATTTTTAAAATTTCTGCCCACTTGTGACAGAGCTGCTTGATAATTAGCTTGTCACCAGGTCTTCAGGGTTTGCTTGGCATTTCAGTCACGCGCAGCAGCATGTCCAAAGCAACTGAGCATGGCTAGAAATAAAGTGAAAAGTAAAACATTTGTCCTTCTTATTCCCAAAGATCTTTGTATGATTTCACGTGAAGATTGTTTAAAGACTTAATGATTAATGAGACTTATTTCGCAAGAATCTTTGACCATAGGAGACTACTTTCAGACCTCACCTACTGGCAGAAATGTATCGTAATATTGGAAGGAATCTAAAATCACACCAGTTCTTTGTAGTAACCATATGTCTCATTCCTGAGAGGTAGAGAACAGATAATGAAAAGGAAAAGTAGGAGTTTTAGTAATTAAAAGTGTGAGTGAGAGGAAGTGAAGTTACATCCCTCAGGAATGAAAAAAAGATGATGACGATGAATTCAACAAATTTGTCACGGCATCAATAATTACAAATATTACATGGTCCTATGTAACACTGAGTGAGGTGATTATGAAAACTCCATTAGCCTGCAGCACTGGTATTTTACGACAGAGATGCAATCAGCGAACTTCACATGCGTTCTGTTGATGGTGTTTTCCTTTTGATGGAGCTGACTGTCGCTGCGCCGTCAAGTTTGTGAGCAAACGTTTGAAGAACAAAGGCTGGTTTTAATGGAAGTGATGCTTTCAGTCGGGGGACAAAAAAAAATCTGACTTTGTCTGAAAATGTAAAGAAAATAATCCAATGAGTTTCTTTGGTTAAGCACATTTATTTCAGGATTTTCCCCAGGGTTTACTTGTGCCCCCACCAGGCTAAACATTATTTTTTAAGTCTTTTTAAAATGTTTGCATTTTTTAAGACTTTATATTTGGTCTTCAGGTCTTAATCTTCCAATATTCTGATAATACATAATTATCAACTGATATTTTACTGGGTATCTACTCAATGAAAGACCACAAGTGGTCAGACGAATAATTAGCTGAAATAATTAGTAAAGAATGGCTTTGGTTTGCCTTTCAGTTTTAGTCATTCAGCATCCTGATGGGAGGGAACTGACTGACTGGCATCATTTGGAGTTAATTAAATCGAAAGAGTCTGACAGGCTCATAAATAACAGTGAGATCTTCCTGTGTCTGTGTGGATACCAACCATGTCAGAGGGGTCATGAGATGGAACAATAATGCAGAGAAATACAGATTGCATTTACCTGGGACTGATTTATAATCTGCATTCTCATGTAATTTAGACTTATTCAAATTCTGACATGTTCCTCCAAGTGCTGCAAAAGTCACAATTTTTTTAATAGTGTTTATGTAAAATATTCAATTGAAACTGCAGCTTGGAAAACTGAAAAAAAAAAAACTGTTGATATGCTGCTTGATGCGTTATTGGCTGGTGTTTGCAATTTAAGCAGCTAATCCAGTAGCTGCATTTATTTTCCTTGACACTGATTGACTGTAACCTGCAAGAGTGGAAATAATTAGAACTGCAGATATATGCAGTAAGGTAAAGACTGTTTCCACTGCATGTACAATATTAATGCAGACTAAGGTATATTTGGTCTTTGACAAATTAAAATAAGCAGTTAGATGGACAGGATTTTAGCTATTCACTGTAGCTGTGGTGTCTTATCCCCGTAAGTAGCAGGGGTCCACTGTACAGAAAATTATTTGGGTCTTTATACTTCTAGTTAAATTAAAAATAACCACTTAATGCCCACTATCATTTCTCTTGTGGGTCATTTTGTTTTTATTAGAGGCTGCAGTAAGACTCGTACACTTGTGACTGGAACATGAGTGTTAAGGAGTCCATGCATTATGCTTTTGCAAGTAGGGAGAAGCATATGGAGGCCATAAGTGCTAAAGATGCACAGCAAAAGAACATCAACTATCAAGTGTGAAAACACCCATAGAAAATCCTCGTTTTGTTTTCAAACCTAAAAAAGTGTTAAAAAAAAGATTGTAAAACAAAAACAAAATTAATTGCTTCACAGGAAAGCTCTCACTTTCATCACTTGCATTTTTAATGTAGTCTACTTCTCCAGAGACATAAAGTTAATCTTATTTGCTCTTTCATTACACCTGATCTAATGTCAGTGTAGTCATATATAGAAAAAACACAGTAAAATATGTGAGAGTTTGATGTTTATTATTTATTGTTTTGGAGTAGATGAGCAACAAGGTACACCGCAAAGCAAAGTTTTTCCAGGAACAGGTTCCCTGCTCAACTACAAAACAAAGAATCTCTTTGCTTCATGCAACCCTGACTGAACACTGACTTATGTGGTAAAAATGGCAATTTTCTCAGGGAGCAGAGAGCACAAGCGGAAGGAGCTGCTACGTTAGTGAAGTGACTAAGTATCTATTTATACTGAAACATCCTTTTTCAGACATTTTCTAGATGTGGGTTGCATGAGCAGATTTGCTGTCTGTTGTGAAGATAATTTAGCAATTTAGTGGGTTGTGTTGTAATGTGATATGCAATGCTTGGCAAGGCGATTCTCCAAACACCATTTGTGAAACACGTGTTTCTCTTTCTCTCTGCTTCATTACTGTGCTCTTTATGCTTCACTTGAAAATTGATATGGAAGCCGTCTCTTTTCGGGGCTTATCGTCAGAACTGAGGGCTTATTTGAGCTGCATTCAATTTGATGGCAAAGTGAATCATCAGGCCAAGAACCTATAACACCCCGGTCCCAGTATGGCAAAGTAGAGGCATCATACAAAGCTAAAAATATTGAGTGCCGTTTAAGTTTTACGTTTTGCACGTTTCAGCAGCAAGGCAATTCAAAGTGCTTTACGTCATGAAATAACTTTCACAAGATTTGTGTCTGTGATAGATGTGATAGGTGAATATGAAGTGGTGCATAATTGTGAAATCACAGGTACAGTAGATCATGTCTGCTTTTGCACTTCTTCTTTTTTAATTTTTTTTTTTCAACCAATGCAGTTGGTTTGCTGCAACTGCAAACAAACCACATTTGTTTGCAGTTGCAGTAGCACATTTTTTGAGGTACCTTTCTACCACTTTTGCACATCTAGAGACTAATATTTTGTAAAGTAGCTCAAGCTTAGTCAGATTGAATAAAGTGTGTTTGTAAGCAGCAGCTTTTAGGCGTTGTTAATTGAATCTGAATTGGATTTATGTCTAAACTTTAAATATATACATGAATATG